TCTCCCAGAAGAACTTTCTGGCAGTCCTTCCCCTGATTCCCCTGTACCAGTTTCTTCACTGTCTTCGAGAACATTTTGATTGGCCACCTCAAGTAACCTAGGCACCTTAGGGCGTGGTTCTCCTTGCTGTTGTCTCATCCTGCGCCCATAATTCCGTTGAAAACGCCTCTACTGTGTTCTAGTCCTCTCATTGAAGGGTACCACCCTTCCCGCATTATACTGGTACGAGTGCCATACATTTGGTTGGCAAGGTTGGGCCCGAATGTTCTTCCATTACTTACTGGCCTGAATTGTCCTTTATCAGGAGGCCTCCTATAGAATGACGCATCTCGTCCCCTAAAAGGTTGAATATTGGGGAGAAAACTAGAGCGAGAGTGATGTTGTCTTGTCCTTGGTTTCTCTACATTTGCACTCATTTCTCCTTTGCACCTTGCACACAAAATACCTTCTTCTTATCTAGGCTTCTTTCCTGTGATTCGCTCGAAAACACTGAGATGAGATTCAGCATCTTCTTCCCTATCATCCACAACTAACTTGAATCTTGGCAACTTGCCTTTGAGGCCAGTCGTCACCATGTTTACTCCCAGTGGCTGTAGGAAAGGATTTTCATCCACTGCCATTTTCTTTTTGTCTTCGAACGTAATTCGTCCTGATTCGATAGCATCCTACAACACATGACAAAAAACCAGACAGTTATTAGTCATATGTGACCATGCATTATGCCATTTACAATATTTTTTACCCTTGACTTGATCAGGGTCTGGCAACTTGTGCTTGTCGCTCAACCTAATTTGTTTATCTTTATATAGCTTATCAAAAATGAGGTCGGCTTTGGTAACATCAAAAGAAAATACCCTAGCCTTCTTGCCTTCATTTTTCATGGGCTCATTATGACCCAATACTCTAGGTTTGGCCATTATTGGAAAAGCATATGCGTTGCCCTTAACTAATTCGGCCAGACATATTTCTGTCTGATCATAATACTCATCATTGATAACATGAACGTCGAAGTTTGGGTCTCTGTAGTAAGACCCTTTGCTGGAACTCTTCATTTGTTCTTCTTCTATTATCAATCGCTCATATCTAACTACATTAGCACTTAGTCGGAAAAGGTCAGGGAACTTCCTATCCTGGAATTTCTTTTTCAGATCAAAGCTTAAACAACTTTGAGCGATCTTGACAAATTCTTTTTTGGGCAAAGGTACAAAACATTTGCTCCTAACTATTTTGAACCTTTGAAGGAAACCTTCTGCCCGTTCATTGGGCATTTGGCCTAAATTCACCAAGTTAGCCAAAGTAACTTCAGACTCTGTTTTATAAAACTGGGCGTGGAATAGCTGTACAAGTTGTTGCCATGTTTGAACAGCATTTGCTGGCAAATTGATGAACCAAGAGAATGCTATTCCAGTTAGAGCACTAGGGAACAGCCT